TCCCCACAAGTACATGTCCACCTCCCCACGTGTACATGTCCACCTCCCACAAGTACATGTCCACCTCCCACATGTACACGTCGACCTCCCTACAAACACATGTCCACCTCCCCACAAGTACACGTCCACCTCCCCACAAGTACATGTCCACCTCCCACAAGTACATGTCCACCTCCCACATGTACACGTCGACCTCCCTACAAGTACATGTCCACCTCCCCACAAGTACACGTCCACCTCCCCACAAGTACACGTCCACCTCCCACATGTACACGTCGACCTCCCTACAAGTACACGTCCACCTCCCCACAAGTACACGTCCACCTCCCCACAAGTACACGTCCACCTCCCCACAAGTACATGTCCACCTCCCCACAAGTACACGTCGACCTCCCCACAAGTACATGTCCACCTCCCACAAGTACATGTCCACCTCCCACAAGTACACGTCCACCTCCCACAAGTACACGTCGACCTCCCCACAAGTACATGTCCACCTCCCCACAAGTACACGTCCACCTCCAAACAAGTACACGTCCACCTCCCCACAAGTACATGTCCACCTCCCCACAAGTACATGTCCACCTCCCACAAGTACATGTCCACCTCCCCACAAGTACACGTCCACCTCCCCACAAGTACACGTCGACCTCCCCACAAGTACATGTCCACCTCCCCACAAGTACACGTCGACCTCCCCACAAGTACATGTCCACCTCCCACAAGTACATGTCCACCTCCCACAAGTACACGTCCATCTCCCCACAAGTACACGTCGACCTCCCCACAAGTACATGTCCACCTCCCCACATGTACACGTCGACCTCCAAACAAGTACACGTCCACCTCCCCACAAGTACATGTCCACCTTCCCACAAGTACATGTCCACCTCCCACATGTACACGTCCACCTCCCCACATGTACACGTCCACCTCCCCACATGTACACGTCCACCTCCCCACAGGTACACGTCCACCTACCCATAAGCACACGTCCACCTCCCCACATGTACACGTCCACCTTCCCACAAGTACACGTCCACCTCCCCACAAGTACATGTACACGTCCACCTTCCAAAAAGGACACATCCACCTCCCCACATGTACATGTCCACCTTCCCACATGTACATGTCCACCTCCCCACAAGTACACGTCCACCTTCCCACAAGTACACGTCCACCTCCCCACAAGTACACGTCCACCTTCCCACATGTACACGTCCACCTCCCCACATGTACATGTCCACCTTCCCACATGTACATGTCCACCTCCCCACAAGTACACGTCCACCTTCCCACATGTACACGTCCACCTCCCCACATGTACATGTCCACCTTCCCACATGTACATGTCCACCTCCCCACAAGTACACGTCCACCTCCCCACAAGTACATGTCCACCTTCCCACATGTACATGTCCACCTCCCCACAAGTACATGTCCACCTCCCCACATGTACACGTCCACCTCCCCACATGTACACGTCCATCTCCCACAAGTCCACGTCCACCTCCCCACATGTACACGTCCACCTCCCCACAAGTACATGTCCACCTCCCTACAAGTACTCGTCCACCTCCCACATGTACATGCACGCACGCACGCACGCACGAACTATTGTATAAGACCTGTTTCTATTGCCTGTCGCAATGAACCACATCTAAATGTTGCAATTATCTTTCTCGTGTGTCCGGACATTGTACACTGTAAATATTTCTTTGCCATGCTGTCTTGCTTGGAGTTCTGAGTGTATTGCCATGCGTTAAATTCCTGCCATTGCATACTTTTTGAAGCCACAACTGGCTGGCTGTCACAGAACGATGCGTTCATAAAATCAACATTCAAATCGAGTTTGGACGCAGGGGAGATAACTTTGGAAATCCAAGATATTTTTCTTCGTTTGGACCATTCTAAGACAAATGTTAAGTAGAGTTCTATTCTTTGTTGACAATGTTGAGTAAAATATAAATATTTCACCCCCTTTTTTGAGAAACTCTTCCAACCCATTTCACCTCTCAGACACTTCTAGGAAGAATCCGCAGGCTCTATTTTGTATGGCATTGATGCAGCAATCTTCCCTCAGATCAGTGTCAGTGTCAGTGAGTTTGATTTTACGCCGCTTATAGCAATATTCCAGCAATATCACGGCGGGGGCCACCACAAATGGGCTTCACACATTGTACCCATGTCGGGAATCGAACCCGGGTCTTCGGCGTGACGAGCGAACGCTTTAACCACTAGGCTACCCGACCGCCCCTCCCTAAGATCCCAGATAGCTGATCCATAGAGCAGAATAGGTTAGACAAGTGCTTCATAAAGTCTTCTGAAACTTTCCCCCTGCCTCGATACACTTTTCCTGAACTTTTGACAAGCTGCTCCGTACACATTTTCATCACGTAAAGACCAGCTCTCATGTGAGGATCGCTCATCACCCAAGACTCATTGCCTAACCCGCCACGGAAGCTGTCGCCGCTCGCTGAATGTATATTATTATCACTGACTTTTGCTATTTCCAATGTATTTTGCATTTGATCTGAGTGAGTGAGTGAGTTGAGTTTAACGCTGCTTTTAACATGCATTTGATCTGACTGCCATCATATTATTTTTTGCCATATTGTACAACCAGTCAATTGCTGTGCAGTCATTTGTATTGATGTGTTCACATTGTACTAAAAGAACAATGTCATCTGCAAATATATAGCAGCGACAGGGAAATATTATCCACAATTATACCAGAGCTGAGAGAGTTAATGTCATCTGCTAGATCATTAATGTACAAGCAGAACATAGCTGGAGAGATAGGCCATCCCTGTGTTACACCGCTGTTGATGTTGAAAGGCGAGGTCATGTACTTATTGACATTTGAACACTGGACGTCATGAGCATTGGATATATTTGGCCAGAACCAACGGCCCTTCTCACGATGTGGTTGAAAATATATATACAATATACATCTCAATTCCTTCCGACCTGGAAATCAGCTGCTGAATAAACTCCAAAGGGTCATACTACAAGTACGTAAAGCATCAACCTTCATTTGAGAAGGGGGCACGGGTGGCCCAGTCGCCTAAGGCGCCGCGATTCGCTGTGCAGAGTTGCGTCCCTTGGGCACGCCAGAAACCTATGATTCTGGGTTCGAATCCCGGTTCGCCCCGATTATGTTTCTAGGTTTGTCAGCACCATACCCGTGCTCGTGGGTTTCACCGAAGTGGTAAACGTCTGAGACCTGCATCACTTCGGGCTTTCCTCCCACATTAAGCTGACACGCCGCGATATAACTGGAATACTGTTAAAAGCGGCGTTAAACCAAACTCACTCACTCACTCACTCATTTGAGAAATATGTTTTCTCTCAAAATCAATATTTCTCCCTGTATTTAAATTCAGAACTACTAATCAGAGATGACCCGTTGAAACTGGTCGATGGCCTGAACATTCCCTGGGGAGACCGCCAGTGTCAAGTGTCAAGTAGGAGATGAGTTTCAATATTAATTTAGATGTGAAGCTTTACCCTAACAGCGATATAAACTCGTAAATGTACAATATCTTAAGTTTACAAACCTGTCCCAACGTAAGAAACGTATGACCACTAACAGTGTAAGAGATCTAAAAGGCCTATCTAAATTCCTTTTCAATGTGTATAATAAAATTGGTAAATTGTATTAATATCAACGTATCCTATTTTAATTATTCGCGTTAAATGCTGTTATTTTGTAAATATAAAATATTGTATATAATTGTATCTCATGTACCACCGTAGGTGACTGTTCTGGGAATAAATAAACTGATCCGAGTTGAAATTTGCAAACGTAGTGTAATGGAAATAGTCCTTGTATAAATAAGTCCAACTCAAAGGGCAAGTCTCATGGGTATATATACTACTTTGCAGATTTGGATAGATCGTCACATCGTTAATGCACATATCGTATTCAAAACACAGAAAAGCGGGTTTATTTGCACTTTCGTCCTGTCTATCAGTTTCAAAGGCTGAAACGGAAATACAGCGGAGGCGGAGCCTTTATATACAGAAGCTCCATATATGGTCTTGTTAAAGGACGTTACCTTATAAGGACGCGAAGTCGGCCCCTCCGTTTGCACTCTTGGTTCGTTCACGTCGGCTGCACACGTTCTCCGCACATCTGACCTATGTTTAATTGGGCTTAACGTCGCGTCAAAGATTATTGCACTAATATAGCGACGTGCACGCACCTGTGTGTGTATGATCCAGTTTAGAATAGGTCTTCAGCAACCCATTCTTGTCGTAAGAGGCGACTAACGGGATCGGGTGGTTGGTTGATGTATGTCATCGTATGCGTTGATCTATGCTGATGATGTCAATCACTGGACATACTCAATTATTGAAAGTCTGCTGTAAGTTCGGCGTTTAACAACAAACAAACAAAACAAACAAACAAAAATGTTATCTTCATGGACAGGTTATGTTTCTCAGAACAACATTGCTCGTACAGTAAAGGGTGCTTTAGGATATTGTGTGCATGTCCATATAATATTGATTGATTTACTGTTTATGAAATTATGAACAAACTACTCAAGAGTAGGTAATTTTACGCATTGAAGTGGAAATTAGTTGCTGCTACATTTATTAGGTGTGAGAAATGTAGTTGGAAATGTCCTTTTCCGTTGTATCATATCAATAGTATTAGTGATGGCTAGAAGGTTAATATTTGGTCAGTTTATCAACAGCAGTCGAAGAACATCCTATGAGTGGATGTTTAAATCTTGCAGCAAACATGAAAACTGTTGTTTCGAGTCAAGACGTCTTCATAAATGACCAAGTTCAATGGTTTGTGACCAGGTGTTAACCAAGCTCGAACGGGTATAAGGCTTGTGAATTAGATCTGTAGTCAATAAAACCATCCCCAGACATACACAGCAGCAGAAGACCTTCACAAGCCTTATCATACACCTTTCCAAACCTCAACACCTTCACCTCATGAGATAGAGAATAATGAAGTCATTGTTGTTGAAGTCCATCTACAGTCAGTCACCTCCTCCACATCCCCCTCCGCCTCCACATCCTCCTCCTCCACATCCCCCACCACCGCCGCATCCACCTCCTCCTCCACATCCCCCACCACCGCCGCATCCTCCACCACCTCCACATCCACCACCACCGCTGCATCCACCACCATCGCACGATGAGCTGCCTATATAGTCACTCCCGCCACCGTAGTCACACCCTCCTCCGCCATATTCATTTGCCCCTGAATCTCCACCATCATCATAGCTTTCACTACAGTCGACAATAAAACTATCCATCCCCATCATACAAGGTTCTTCAAAGTCGTCATCATGGCCCGCATCAAACAGATTCACGTCGACATTACTTGTTGATTCTTCACCTCCATCATGCTCCTCCTCCTCTTCTTCACCCTCTCCACTCTCGCTGTCAGCATGTTGTCTGCTTTTCTTTTGTCCATTCTTGAGCAATGCATACCTTGCCTTCCTGTCGTCTCTGTAGGAGTTCACCAAATAATGGTTAGACGGACATTCCTGAAGAACCCCAGCTGCAGATAGGAACAGGACATTCTCACAAGGAGCTGCAGAAACACCACGATCTAGCTTCCTGCCATAGTTCGGGGACAATCCAGTTTTCCATGCTTTCGATCTTGGCTGACATAGAACATGCAGGATGCTGATGGAGAAGGCCAGGGCAACACGTTCAGCAGCTTCGTGGTATTTATCCATGAACGTGACACACGTTCTTCTGCACTCCATTCCGTCAAGTTTAAAGTCGAACCCTCCGTCAAGGTACTGCGTCATACTCTTCTTTATCATGGTCTTGGTTGAGAACTTGTAAAAGTTGATATCAAGATATCCACAAAGCACCTGAGTCCCTCGCAGAGTCCTCGAATAGCCTATAGATTAAAAATAAATATCACTTGCTTTAGGAGATCAACCATGCTAATTTATTTATACTTGCTCTAAACAGGCACCCGGACACGTCACACCAAAAGACGTTAAAATATGGTACTTGTTGTTGCCCTGTCTGGCGCTCGGTATTAAGGGTCTAAAATAAATCGGCATCAGTCCGGAGTAGTACAAGCAGCCACACACACGTAGCATGCACATCGCTATATAAGTGCAATAATCTTGGACGCGGCGTTTATCACAATTTCAACTCACCTCACCTGAACGGTGACTAATAAAGTAAACATATGACTTCCTCTCACATCAAGCTGACATGCCGTTATATAACTGAAATACTCTTTAATGCGGGTTTAAACCAAACACACTTCACTTGTTTTATTATAATAACATGAAAACATTCTTTGACCCCACCTAGTATATAGGTTATCTTCATTAACTAAGGAAAAAATGAAACAATTGCAGTACAAGAACACCACATGCATATTGAAGAAGTGACATACTTGAAATTGGAACAGATCTTGTGGAGCGAACCCAGTTGCCAGTAACCAAACCCCAGTCTCCTTGATTGTTCTTTATCAACATCGCTCGTTGCCCTAACTTTGGATTTAAAGATGGCAGGTCCTGAAAATATAACACATGTGAAACGATTTATCATGAACACACTGGAATATATGTCCTTGTGGGTCGGTGTGGGTTTCACCATGTCAAAATAACTGCAATGGAAATTCGAAAATAAGCATTTCTAAAACTCCTTAATATCAAATGGCACATGTTCAGTATGTACTTTATAAATGGACATGCAATGTTTGGCAAGGAAATATTTAACAATTTATTTGTTATACTCCATAAGTGAACCCACCCTATATCAAAACTTAAATCCAACTTGTTGCCATGGAAACGTAAAAAATAAAAATTCCTAAATAGCAAAAGGCACCAGTTCAGCAGGAGTCTGAGAGACATGCAAAGTTTTGTAAGAAAGTTTTGAAGGGGTTTTGAGTTATGCTCCGGAAACGAACTCCACCCTATAGAACCCAAGTCCAACTGGTTGCCATGGAAGCGTAAAAAATAAATTTAAAATAAAATCCTAAATAGCAAAAGGCACCAGTTCAGTATGTGCCTGGTAGACATGCAAAGTTTTGTAAGAAAGTATTTAACAGTTTTTGAGTTATGCTCCGGAAACGAACACCACCCTTATAGAAGTCCCAACTTGTTACCATGGAAACGTAAAAAATATAAATTTCAAAAATCCTTAAATAGCAATAGGCACAACTTCAGTATGTGACTGATGGATTTGCCAAGTTTCGATCAAATACACTGAATTATTTTCGCGTTCTGCCCCAGAAAAGGAAATGATATATTATGGACGGATAGACGGACAGACAGACGGACAGACGGATGGACAGACAGACTGGCTGATCGCTATATCCCACCGCATTATATGCCGGGGGGATAACAAGTGATAATACCAGTTCGTGAAAAATCACACCCAGGAACATATGATATACCGCAAAATAGTGAATTGAAACAGGCTTTCGTCACTGATAAGTCAAACTTGAAAATGTTCTCAACGTTTTGAAAGCTTCACTAAGGCCTTGAGTAGTGTTAACTTACGGATGATGAATCGACTGCTTCTGGTGAAGGAAGTTGGTCAGCACCAATGAGATAAGCAAAGGAGACCAGTCTTTGCTGGTGATACACAAGAACTGCTGACATCAGCAGATCCGTGGAGTGGACGACTCTGCATACAAACTCTGCATTGCAACCAGCCGCCGTAAGTCTGGAACGAGGGAACAACTGTCTACATTCCGTATAAAGCGTGCATGTTGCTCACAAACCTAGAAACATGGAGGCAAACTGAGATTCTAACCCACGACTATACGTTTCTGGCGTGCTCAAGCGACGCAACTCTACACAGCGAAATGTGGCGTCATCCGTGGCCCCACGTGCAAGTACAAGAGGAAGCTCATAGAGTTCAAACTGTATCATTAGTAATGGTAGATACCAGTACTTATTCATATTTATTTACCAGCACAATATATTTCAATTACAGGGATCACGACTGTGTCAGTTGCCTGGGGAATCTAAGTAGCGTCCACCAAGCCTGGAGGAATCCAATGACATGGGGTTCAAATACCAGACAAACCCTGATTATGATTCTTGGTCTGTCAACAACGTAGTACTGTTCGTTCTATATCACTTCCTCCCAATTCAAGCTGACATCGACACTGTTCAAACGGTGAACCAAACACACTCCATTAATGTTTTGGATTACAACAAAAATCAACTGGAGTTTTGATGAAGCGAAACAAGTTTGGTGGTCGTCTTGTGTTCTTGTTGAGATTATACTTGTATTTAAGAGTCCCTCCAGGCACAAGAGTTGGGTCTAAATTTTCAACATTGTGTATGTTTCATTTTTCAGTTTTGGGATGGGTTCGATAACAACTCCCAGGGTTAAACGTTACTACGTGTGTCCCTCTAAATCAAACAATTTGTTGGCCAAACAATTTGGGTGTCACAATGATAGCACCTGCATGCATGCTGTAGAAGGAAAATGCTTTCAGAGAATTTATAGCCAAGGAATTCTAAAAGACAATGATCAATACTACACGATTATTTAATTACAGCAACTTATGTAGATCTCACTGTTGGTATTCTATTGGGCATTTATTGGAGCAAGTCAAATATGCAGGATTAATATTCCTTTAACAAGAATCACTTACTTGTGTATTGCCATGAAGAACTTTTCTGAAACACCTTCTACAGGACGTGGTATTGGCACAGGACCCCATACTTCCTCTCTCGACGACATTATACCCTTCATATCCGTCGTCCACGGCCCATTTTGCAATTCCAAGGTTAATTTAGGACGAACCATTTTTCCTTTACATTTCAGGATTATAGGCGATGGTTCCAGCGTTTTTTCAGTAGAAATTGCATATGTATAACTTTCAAATGTCTCAATTGACGACAGGCAGTCAAAGGTTGCTTCTCCTAATACTATCTCCTTTTTGAAGATCGCATACCCTGATTTTCCAATTAACTTGAAGCGGATGAAATCGCATTTGTTTGTCCACATCTCTCCTAGATAGAGATGAACCCTCTCCCAAGTCATAGAATCTTTATGAGTCCAGTTCTTTGAACTCAGTATTCTCTTACTTAGCACCGTTCCTTCGTCTCGTAAAACAACCACCTCTAACTTTGCTGAACGCGCCCATGTTGGAAGTCTGTCAATTCTAAGGTACGTCAGTTCTACAAGTACTCCTGTCGCACATAAAGCCTCTGTTTCTCCCTCTGTCAGCCGATACAATTGTCCCTTTTGGCTTTCACCTCTGTACATGGCACCAGGGAAGGAAAAGCTGTCATCAAATACATTTTTCCACAGAGATGATGTCAGCTTCGTGGCATTGGTAAGCTTGGAGTTTTGTGATCTGTCGTTGACACTGTCATCATGACTCAGGATCTTACCGAGGAGTCGTTCAGTATCAGATACATAGGCGACAGGATCCAACTGATGGGTATGCCATACCAGATCAATGTCAAAGGTGGGGGCAAGGAAAGAGTTTGGGTTGCCTTTCAGGAGGAACAGAAACTGTTTATATCTCCTCATGGCAGTTTGCAGGTACGTCTTGTTCCTGTAATGAGGTAGGGATACTTGATAGAAAAACTGCTTTTGCCTCGCTGAAGCTGAGACAATATCATAACTGATACTGGATACAAAGTCCTGTTCACCCGTTGATCCTTCAGTTCCTGCTTGAAAAGGTGTTTCTGGATACTCCTTATTCCAAAATATCTCGGACTCAGATAGGTACTTTTGCCTTTCGTCAGAGTCTAGCAGTTTGTGGGGAACCACCACACCGACCATGGACAAGCAGTCTTTCTGATATGACATTGGAGACAACATATGACAGTGCCAGACCCACTCAATGTCCAAAGGAGCTGTCAGAACTTCATTTGTGTGTTTGGATGCTAGGGGCAGCCAGTAATGTTCATAACGGCCTATTGCTCTCAGGAGAACGGGCCCTTCGTAAAGATGGCCGTGATTGTCCACTTGTTCCAGAAAGTTGAGATGGTTCTGGACTGTCGCTGGAGCAACATCTACATCCATGTCAGCAACGGAATCCACTGGGGAAGAAAGCAGGACCTCTTACAATCAGTTATTGATTGACAATGTGAAATTTTTGGAGGGCCGAGGATTTAAAAGAAATAATGTCTTCCAAAAGATAATGAAACAATGCATATGGATACTGAAAATGTCACCTTTGTTCAATGTCAAAAGACACAATTTCATCAAGCTGCATTTTTCATTTTCATTGTGTATATATCCAATCTCTTGAAAATCAGATCTTTTAGGCCAAATCGGTACCTTACAAACCCTGAACCAGATCTCAGGCAGTTGAACTAATTAATCGGCCATTCATCGTGGATGCCTCTTAATGCCTAATACGAGTGAGGGAGGCATTTGGAGAAACATTAGGCGGTAGGGTAGTACAGAAGCAAAGTTTCGTTTCACAGAAGGCCCAGGTTCGATTACCATATGGTAATAACATGTGAAGCCCTTGTCATAATATTGCTTGAATATTTCTAAAGTGGCTAAAAACCCTACTCACTCGTTCGGAGCATCATATCCGACTTCTTTATTTCCAAAACGAACACAAACGGCCAGCTCCAAATGGAAATCAAGTGTAACCGAGCTTTGTTGTTGATTCTTTACGCCCTGTCGTAATTATTCAACTTTGAAGTCAACGAGTGCCTTAGATTTTACATTCATTCTCAGCTAAATGGTAAATTACACAATTGTGCTGTCCCCTGCGGAAAACCTGGTTAATATCTTAGCTGAAAATATATTTTCTGTTACAAATCATATAATGCAAGCTGAACGGCTAAATGAATACACATGTTGATGTACTTCGTTCAGATTGTATCTGCACCAGTCTATAGTGTTGCTTATAAAGTCGTCCCCAGCCTTGTCCCCGTGCTCAGTGTGTGACTTTTCCACTGAATAATTAAATATTCTGCACATTTTTACTGCATTTTACTCTTTTATTTCATGCGTATTGATCATATATCATCATTACCAGCAGTTTTCAAGCAATGGTTCTGATAAAATATCTTTGGCTAGCAATATTCTACTGTCCCCGATTTTACCATCAGATACGTTGGTCACTTTTGTGTGAAGAAGTCACACACCAACTAAACAAACATTATAACACAATGTGTCAGATATGATTTGTTCAAGCATAGTCTTAACACTTTTTATCATCAATTTCTTAAAAAACTTAAAGAAAAATCATGAATCACAAAATCACAAAATTATACCAGCTGGGTACGATACTTTTCATCAGATACGTTAGTATGATTTATTGCCGCACACGCCTGATAAACTACAATATATGATGTTGTGTTTGTTACTTTCATAAAACAACGTGTCACCTATGAGAAATGTCCATCCCAAACCTTGACATGAGTATACTTTCGAAATTTCTGACCAATTCGCAAAGTTGTCATCAGATACAATTTTGTCAGATACGTTAGATAACACCAGCGACATCGGAAGATGGTCATCGAAATTCAGTAATCTCGATAAGTTGAATCTTATCAATGCACATGCGTGCCGTGCCACCTCTCTACTTCCGATTTTCAGCCAAGAACGTCCTGCAACCTGGTTTCGGTTCTCAACAATCCATCACAAATTGGTAAGTAATCTTTGCCATCTTAGTAAATGGGTCATCTGAATTGAAAGCCACCCCATAGGTGATAATTATTTGATAAAATAGATTCTGTTCATTAGGATGGAAAAAATGAATCCCTTTCTGTATATTAGCAATTCCCAAAGAGCATGTTTTCCAACCTAACGTATCTGATGCCAACCTAACGTAGTTTACGAATGTAATTTAATGATTAGATATGTTTCTGAAGTGAAGACCACAACATTCTACTGATGTTTTCTGTCGGTATGCATTTCATTGATAGGAAAAGTACTATATTTTACTCAAGCTCCTGTCTAAACACCTAAATACCAACTAACGTATGTGATGATTTTTATAACGTATCTGATGAAATTAGCATATTTCACAAAGAATAAAGTATGAACATTTTTAAAGGGTGGCTATTTCATAGTGCAAACATCTCTTTCACTTCGACGACTGTTTCAGCATGTTTTTGTCTATGCTTGATTTTAGAAAATGGCGAAAACAGACGCAGAAAACCAAAAGGTGTATCGGGAAAGAAAGAAACGAAATGACAGTCAATATCTAGCCAAAGAACGTGCTCGAGTCAAAGGGTACAGAATACCAATTGATCAAATGCAAACAAAGAAAAAAAAGGCAGTTCGTGAAAGGAATAAACTCTATAGTAAAGCATACCGGGATCGAAAGAAAACACAGAAACAAGCACAAGGTGCCAGCATAGTTGAGGTCACAGATGTGGTCGTTGATGCAGAAACTGACCAGGTCGACACAGTATCAAGCAGTACTGATGCATCTCGGCAGTCAAGGTCACGCCCAGGTCCTTTCTTGGTCAAAATGACTTTTCCAAATAAACAGAGAAAACCAAAACGCTCGTGTGCACTGAAAAGAGCAAATACAAAAGTAAAAGAGTTGACTGAACAACTCTCTAGCTACAAAAAGAAGCAACAGAAATGGAAGAAACGATATCAGAGGATGAAGGCGAAGTATGGGACATCCAAACAGACTAGCCGCAACAATACTGAAAATAGCTCGGATCAGACGACAGGCAGTCTTCAACAACAGTCTGAAGCAACACCTTAAAAAAAAACCAGACATGATCTCCGGGAAAACGGTGTGAGTCCCAGTCACTTGCCAGCTACTGTTGTTAGACAATTAACAATGGCTAATGTACTTTTTGGAGAAATTAAAGAAAGTGTCACAGCCAACAAAAAGCAAAGCAAAATGAATGTGATGACATCTCTTGTTGGAGGGAAAGTACTTAAGAAGTACAGATGTGTGTCGGGTTTGAACAAGGCTACAGGTTTGTCACGAAGAAGTTTATCTCGGACCACCTCTAAGGTAATAGAGATTCGAGGAAGAGCCCGTCTCACTCTCGTAAGAGAGCAGATTAAGAGACTAATTGTCTCATTCATGGAGAGAGATGATATCAGCGTATGTATGCCAGGCAAAGCAGATTCCAAGAGCCTAAATGGTGTCAAACATCAAACAAGAATAATGAATGATTATCTGTCTGAGGTGTATGCTAAGTTCAAGATTGAAAACCAGAATATGAAACTGTCTTTTGCATCATTCTGTAGGCTACGGCCCAGATACATCTTGCTCACATCACACATTTCAAGAAACACTTGCTTATGCAACAAACATCAGAATATGGCCATGAAACTCAAATGTCTGAGAAGTGTTGGATTACAAGTTCCAAAATCACCGGATATGGCGTATGACAGTGTATCCGTGGACGCAATGGATCAGATGCTGGAAACTATTCAGGATGACGTTGAATATGATGAGTGGAGGCGTGTGGATGTTGAGGGGAAAAAGAAAATGAAGGTGGTGAAGATAATAAAGAATGCCACTGACTTCAAGAAGTATATGCTACTTGAATTTGCTGAGTTCCGTGACCACGTTGGAAGAGTAAAGTCGCAATATGCAGCTATCCATGAGTTGAAGGATACACTCCCAGATGGCCATATCATCATACAGATGGACTTTGCTGAGAACTTTACATGTTCCAGCATGGATGAAATCCAAAGTGCATACTGGAACCCAACAAATGTCACGCTTCACCCTGTAGTGGTCTACTACAAGTTGGACAAACTGGTACACAAAAACTTTATCTATGTGTCTGACGTCAATCAGCACAACTCGACTGCGGTACTTACAATCCTAAAACGGATGTTACCAGAACTGAAAACCACTTTCCCTGATGCAACGCATGTTCACTATTGGACTGATAGCCCGTCATCACAGTACAGAAATCGGTACATGTTTGATGTCATTCTGAAGCATAAGGAGCTGTTTGGGCTTGAGGCACGTTGGAACTATTTTGAGTGTGGACACGGGAAAGGTCCATGTGATGGACTAGGAGGTGCATGTAATCGCCAGGCATCTGATGCAGTAAAACAAGGCAAAGCGACAATTCAAGATGCCCACGATTTTTATGAGTGGGCGAGACACAATCAAAAATCAATCCAATACAGATTCTACTCTACTGCTGAAGTAGAGAAGGCTGCACAGGACATAGCTACCTCTAACGCAAAGGTTGTACATGGCACAATGAAGTTGCACGCAGTCATGCAGCAGAATGGGGTTCTTTTTTCAAGAACTGTATCATGCTACTGTACAGGTTGTCTGAGCGGCAATGACTTATGTGTTGGTTGGCGCCGTCACCATGTTGACCAAACCATATCCCAGGAAACGCATGTACTGCAGCCCACACAGGCTTCTGTATCCCCTGTACCTGCTGCACCACATGTACCTGCTGTCCCAGTTGTTGGCAGATTTCTGGCTGCCATATATGATGGTAACTGGTTCATCGGGAAGGTTCTCGAAGTTGACATAGATGATGGCGATACCAAAATAACTTTCATGGAGAAAACACAAGACAAAGGCAAGACCTACAAGTGGCCATCTCGTCCTGATGAAATTTGGATAGAATTTGACGATGTGCTCTGCTTTATTGATGAACCGGTCGCTATTGGCAAAACAAGGCGCCAGTACAACGTAGCTGCACGTGACGTCGCCCGTATTGAGAAGGCATTCAAATGAACATTCACTTTGTATTTTTTACGAATTGCCAAGATTTCAACCACAATGCCTCAAAAAGCATCAGATACGTTATGTTAGAGTTTGTGCTAAGTGTCATATGGAGAAAATATAAACCTCATCTTTCATATAAATGTTTAAACTTCAGACGTTTTTAAGCCAACTTGTGTTGTTGATTCAGGTTGACATCAGATACGTCAGTTTTTGCAGTTGAAGATTATTGCTGTGTTCTCAGTAGACTAATTCTTGAAGGCCAGGGACTTGGCATGTAGTTTGTTCGATATTTGTACCAATGTTTGTTATCAAGTTATTTTTGCAAAATGAACAAACTTTCATAGCTAATACGTGTCTGTTATTATTTGCTAATATCTGTAGA